TAAAATAAATTTGTAAAAGTGGTTAATGTGATTTGAAATACAAGTACGAGAAGAGTCACAGAATGATACCTTTAAAAAGTCTCTGGAGCATTTAAAATATATTTCAGAACCATCTTTACTGTTGAAAATGAGGTATAGCTTTTCTTACTTAAAGCAAATGAAAGTATAGACTTAATTGATTAAGCATCTCTTGAAAACCATCGGGGTGCTGGGCTTTTGGATAAAAAAAAGATTAAATCCCTGAAACTGAGAATGTGACTTGTAAATAGGTATGGACAATGTGATACTGATGCTCTGAGTGGGATGTCAACAGCGTATATCGTGGACTAAAGGGAAGAGTGTTTAATTATGGGGGCCTGGATTAGAAAATAGACTTCAGTGAGGAGGTATACAAATTATGGGGAAAAGCTGATTTAGTTCTCTTTTTTTAATTATATACTTACATTAAAACATTTGCCATTATAGCATTCTTCATATGTACAGTTCAGCGACAGTAATTATCATGTTGTTCAACTATCACTATAATCTTTTTCCAGAATTTTCCATCACCCTTAAGTTCAGTGGCCCCTAAACAACGAGTCCGGCAGCACACATGCCAACTCCTGGTAACCACCAATAAATTTTGATCACTATACACCTGCCTATTCTAGATATTTCATACAGGTGGGATCATATGATATTTGTCCTTTTGTAACTGACTTATTTCACTCAGCATAATGTTTTCAGGGTTCATCCATGTTGTAGCATGTATCAAGACTTTGTTTCTCTTTATGGCTGGGTAATATTCCGTTGTATTTATGTACCACATTTTATTTATCCGTTCGTCTGTTGATGGACATTTAGGAGGAAAAGCTGCTTTAAAGAATTACAGTAGATCAGTGCAAGTAGGCTTATAAGTAATTATATAATGATTTAATAATTATATGAATATTTTGTAAATTCTTATGAAAACATTACAGCTATCTTATTAATCATATACTTGTTATTAAGATAGTAATAACTGTCTTATTAAGTATTTTGAAAATCTGCATTTTCAAATGAAAATGTTTTATTCTAAGTGAAAAAAACAACCTTTCCACTCAATATGTGGAAGAAATTTAATAATTTTAAGTTAGAGTGAAACTTCTGTTCATCTTTGGAGCCTTGTAAATAGGAATCAAATGAATTACCTTAAAAACTGTATATTTGAACGTGTAAACATTGTAATTATGCATTCTTTTCTTTGGTTAATTAACATTTATTTGAAGTGCTTAATTATTATTTGCATCTGTTATAATATTTGTAGTTCATAATTTCTGTTAACTTTGCTTTCAAATCTTTTAAAATTTTACTTATGAAAGGTAACTATTGTATAAAGTTTACTCTTTTGTACAATTTATACTTTAGTTTATACTTTAAGTGATAAATGCAAATATTTAAGAGGCTGTCAGTCCAAATACACCTACTCCTCATTTATCACCTGTCTTGCTGTCTGACATTTCACATTTAAGACAATAGTAAAAAATCTACTACCCTACTATTATATGCACTAGCGACGTACATCTGGCAATAATGAACACCGAGGTGTGAGGCGAGAGTAACATTGGCTGTGATGGTTAAGGTTATGTGTCAGCTTGGCTGAGCCATAGTTTTTGGTGATTTGGCAGTTATGTAATGATGTAGTCATCCTCCATTTTGTAATCTGTTGTGGTCATCTTCCATTTTCACATAACGCAGATTTTCGCATAACATCCTGGTCTTTGGAACGTAACCATGTCAATAATTGATGAGTGGATGTATCTGTTTTGAGATTCCAAACTATGTTTTCTCAAAGGCTTACCATCTTTTGCATTTCAGTTAGAAATAGCTGCTATTTTAGTGAGATACCACACATATTGGAGAATAATCTTAAAACACAAATATATATATATATATATATATGGTCTTAGTCATCTGGTGCTGCTATAACAGAAATACCACAAGTGGATGGATTTAACAAAGAGAAATTTATTCTCTCACAGTGTAGTAGGCTACAATTCCAAATTCAGGGTGTCAGCTCCAGTGGAAGCCCTTCTCTCTCTGTTTGCTCTGGAAGAAAGTCCTTGCCATCAGTCTTCCCTTGGTCGGGGAGCATCTCAGCGCAGGAACCTCAGGTCCAAAGGACATACTCTGTTCCCGGCTCTGCTTTATTTGTGGTATGAGGTTCCCATGTCTCTTCTGCTCACTTCTCTCTTTTATATCTCAAAAGAAAATGGCTTAAGACACTATCTAATCTTGTAGGTCTCATCAGTGTAACTGCCGCTGATCCATCTCATTACATCATAGTGATAGGATTTACAACACATAGGGAAATCACATCAGGTGACAAACTGGTAGACAGTCATACGGTACTGGGAATCATGACCTAGCCATGTTGACATATTTTGGGGGGACACAATTCAATCCATGACATATATATATGTATAATTTATTCCCTTTAAACCTATTGCCATTGAGTCAATTCCAACTCCTATCAACCCTATAGCACAGAGTAGAACTACCCCATAGGGTTTCCAAGGAGTGGCTGGGGGATTTGAACTGCTGACCTTTTGGTTAGCAGCCTGAGCTCTTAACCACCACGCCACCAGGGCCCCATTTATTCCCTTAAGAGCTATTAATTAGGTTTTTGGTATCACTTTTGTTCCTTTCTTAAGTGATTTTATTTGAAATGCATTTTCTCCATCTGTTTTAACCAGTTGAATTCACTGCTTATGTTACTTTCTCTAGATGCTGTTGAAGATCAGTTTTTAAATACTGGACGTGTTCAACTTTGTTATTGAGCTAATCAAACAATATATTGAAGATATCAGTTGTTTCAAAGCCAGTTGGGGGGGGCGGGTAAAATTAGCCTGATTTTTTGCAAAGATGACTTTTTCTACAAAATTTTTAGGTTCATTTTTGTGTCTAAGCAAACAAATGTAGAAAATTATGGCATTTTAAAGCCAGCCTAGTCCAGTAAATGGACTAAGCCAAAAAAATAGAGGTGTGGAATAGTCGTAACCTGACATTGCTTTTAACTGATCATGTGTCACTGAGCAAGGCAACTGGACTTTTGTATGCCTCAGCCTGCGTAAGTGTAAAATCAAAGGTCTCGATTCGGTAGTCTCCAAACGTCTTTCTAGTGCGAATGCGTACACTAAGTGTAGTCACCATTTTGAAATTGTTTATAGCATGATGTTAGATGATTGTACTTATTTTTATGCTTTCCCTTTCACCCTCACCATGCTTGTTTTATTTTAAATTGGACACGTTTAGTTTTATGAAAGATACAATTTGCAGTCCTATGTTTTCTATGACTGGTACTCTTCTTCTTTGAAAAGTGCCTTCTAATAGCTTGTTTGTCATCTACCTTCAAAGGCTACAGCCTGGCAGTCTCTTAACCAAGCTCAGCAAGGAAGGGAGAGGAAAGTCTCTTGGATGGGTCAAGTATTTCCTTCAGCTTGAAGATAAAACTATTCCTTGGGGGCCAGACATGTCTCCAAAGAGTGCTGTTTGGGTTGAATCAGTTAAACCCCAACCTTTAAATGTGTGTATCCTGTTCAAGAAAGTTGAGCCAGAAATGCTCTGCTGTGTGTCTGCTGCTCTTGTAAACCTAGTGCATACATAGTAGCCTTGCGACAATTCTGGTTCATCGTTCCGAGTGTAGTGATTGCCCACAAGCCAGAACTTCAGTTTAACCTTGCATAGATCAGACTTTTTTTGGGGGGTGGGGGGAGGTGGAGAGAGTGTCACAGATAAACTTAATTTTTTAAAAAACTCGGTGGACAAATATTTAAACATTACTGCATGCATAGCACTGTAAGATTTTCTAAGGAAGATAATATAAACCTCAGTCTGAGTCCCTGACCTCCAGAACTTTGTATCATCTAATTACGTTTATTTACAGAGATGTTGGGTTAATGTCCTTTTCCTTTTCTTTCTTTTGTTAAGCTATTAATGAGTAGTGTCATGACTAAAAGTTAATCCCTGTGAAAAAGAGAGATCTAAAAGATTTTAGCTAATTCATGATCTGTGATGACGAGATATAGAAACAAAAATGCCCTGAATAAAAATGCACCACTGTTGGCAGTAATTTCCTTTGAAGTCATTAAAAATGTGCTCCTATGGTCTTTAAATAGTATATTATGAAATATTTCAGACCTACAGAACAGCATAAAGACTAATATAACGAACCCCTGTGTACCACCACCAGCATAAGAAACAAAACATGGCTGGTAGAGTCGAAGCCTGCTGTGTACCCCTCCGCTTGTGCAGCTTCTCCCTCTTCCCAGAAATCACTCTTGTCCTGAACTCTTATTTATTTTTTATAGAGGTGTAAAGATTCCTAATCCTGTTGCCTTATTACTTATAGGATATACTTTTAATCTTTAGCATGGCATTCAAAGACGTTTTGTGTTCTGGTTCAAATATGTCTTTCTGGTCTTCTTGCTTTGCTTATCAGCTCTGCACACTGAACCCTGTGTTTGGGCCATGACACTATTAGGTGTACCCAAACAGGCCTCAGACATTACCACATCTGTTTCTCTGCTCGTATTTTCAAGACAATTTTTCCCTTCATCTCATCCATTGAAATCATGCCTAGTGAATACTTCTTTTCTTCCGTTTAAAGTTCTTTATAATAAAATGTATTTCATAAATTTTGCATTATATCTCATTGTGTACATGTCTGTCTCCATTGGACTGTAGCCTCTTTGAAGGAAGAATTATGAACAGTGTTTTATATATTATAAGCACTTGATAAATGCTTGTATTTTTCTCATGAGAATATTGATCATTCTGTTTTACTTTATGATCATTAACCTGCCCTGCATTTATTCAGTTTATAGACATGTGCCATTTATGGTCTCTGAGGCTCCTAATTTATTAATCATGGATGGAAATATTCACAACATCATATTTTTGTCAAATTTTGAACATTGTCTTCTTTTGTATATTACATGCTTTAAAATATCAAAGTGATGTTTCTTTTTTTTATCTTTTAGATATTGCTCTATGGGGATTTGCCAAAAAATAAAGAAAATATAATATATTTATCAAATCATCAAAGCACAGGTTTGTATCTCATTTGCATGTAACCTAGGTTTTTCTACAAAAGATATGTAGCATTCAAAATAATAGTCTTATATATTTAAATGTTCCTTTATGGAAACATGAATTTTCTATGCAGGTATTATTCATAACCTTTTTGCGTGTGTGTGATTTTATTTTTTGAAAAGTCTGGAATATTAAAGCTGTAATTTTTCTGAACTTAACCTTCTCTTTCTGTTGGGTGTAAAGCTATTTTCTTTCTTTTTTTCCTGTTTCTTTGAATAGCTCTTTAAATAGTTCGTGCATTCTTCATTTTATATTTATAGAATTATTTTGTGAGTTACGTTTCTAGAAATGGAAATGGTGAGTCAGAGTGTATGTACGTTTCATATTTTTAATTGTTAAGCTGCAGAAAGGTTGTACCAGTATGTACTAGTATGTGAGTACTCATTTCATAAATACAGTGTTAATTTCTAATGTCTGCAGTTACTTTTGCTTTTTTTTTTTTTTTTTTTTTACTATTCTTCAGCTTAATATTTTTCTGTCAGAGGAATCACAGAAGACTCTGGCCTTCACTGTAGTACAATGTTTACTGTAAATTTGGTTAAGGTACTTTTTAAAATTTTTTATTTTTAAAATAATTATAGACGTGGGAATTTGCAAAAACAGTACATAGGATTCCTAGTTTCCCCAGTGGTGTCATCTTATAGAACTGTATTATAATATCAAAACCAGGAAGTTGACATCGGTTAAGATACTTTTTAGTTCTCCAAATAATTCAGTCAAAAAAAGAAAAACAACAACAAAAAAACCACTTCATATCTTATTTAAAATCTGCTTTTGATGCATACTTTTAAAATTCCATATTTATCACTTTAAAAAATGCATTACCTAGAAGCACAGAGCTAAAAACAACCTGAGCAATGATAATATTCTTAATGGAAAATCTCTTATATCTGTGACTTTCCTTTATCGTTCTCCCTTCGGGTGTCTCTTCATGATTTTATTGGTTTTAACGTAGTATAGTACAACATTTTCTTTAGAAAGGTGTACCCTAGGTAAGGTCCTTGGGTGCCACAAACGGTTTGCACACTCGTCTGCTAACCTAGCGGCACAATGGAAGAAGGGCCTGGTGATCTGCTTTCGTAAAGATTATAGCTAACAAAACCCAATGGAGCAGTTCTGTTCTATAGCACATGGGGTCACCATGAGTCTAAATTGACTCGATGGCAACGAGTTTGTATTTTTTTGCTTTTTATACCGTAGATAAGGAATGGAAAGTAAAAGAAGTTGAAATGCATTTTTCTCAATTAGTTATTATTACATTGAGTTTTATAGCACAAAAGTTGAAGCTACAAGGGGTTGATGGGAATTTTTATGTATTTGTGTATTTTCCAACTTTATTAACATGACTAGCTCAGATTATCTGCGTAATTATATTTGACTTTGGCCAAAAATATCGGAGCAGTGCTCATGGTCAGTGTCTGCTTATAACCCTGGCCGATAAGCAGCCTGATTTCTTCCTATAATTTTGATTGTTCCTCCAGGCACATTGGCCTTTTTTACTACTAACACAGTCCTGCTTATTCCTATCCTGCCGCTGATGTAATGTTCCTATCAGGGTTAAAATATCCAAATAAAAAAGATTTATGGGCTCAAGGCAGGAACTGGCTCATAATAGCTTTGAGCCCCCCAAATTTCCTTCATATTGACCCACTGGTTAATTTCACGTAGACCTTTCTTTCTGTTAACAGGATTCTCTTTTAAAATTCTGTATTCCATTTTTTGCCAACTTTCCTTTTTACAGGTTTCATTTAAAGTTTGAGGGAAGAAAAAAATGCATTTTTATATTTAAGCAAATACGGTTATATTATGGCCTAGAATGCATTTCCAACAACTTTAAAAAAAAAAAAAAAAAAAGCGTACAGGATATCTTAAAAAATAATTGTTCAGGAAAATAACGCCAAATCTGTTATTTAGCTTACATCCCAGGATGTACTTTAGCCTGAGAACCATACACTTAGTTCTCAGAATTTATTCAGAGTTTACTTACTTTTATATCAGGTACAGTTATAACAAGTTCTATTATATAGTTCTAAAGATATGATTAGAAATAAATGTATCAGTGATTGTTTATTTGAGTTGAATTAGAGAGAAGGAAATAGCAAGAGATACTCTACAGGAAGCTGTATACTTTAGAGAAAATTGATAATTGATAGCCCAATAGCATAGGAATTTCCAAATGATAGACATAGCTGCCAGGAATCATTTAATATAGGGGGAGAAGTCCCCAAAGACATACTCTACTTAAAGGGACCCGTGAGAAAACATATATATCATAATTGTAACTCTTAAAAGTTAACTTTAAATGATAATCTGTAAGAAGTGTTAAAACAAAAATCATGTTAAGCTAGTAATAGAAATTGGTTGAAGTTTATTTAATAAATGACTTGCAAATTGAGATAACATTCCAACTGTAGAGTCAAAAATGTTCCCTAGAGGAAAGAACTTGCCAAGTTTCTTATATCCCATCTCTCACAGACACTACCATTGAAACAGGGTAGAGCAGTGTTTATATAATAAATGTGCCCTAAACACAACTTTGAAACTGACTGCACATAGATAATTCATGGAAAGAGCACAGTGCCTAAGGCAGAAGGGTCTTTACTAGTTAGCTAGACTGTTGTTTGACTTAAAGGTGGCTTTTAGGAGACCAGTTTCTTCAAGACTCAAGGTTCAAGGATCATCTCAGGGTGATAGCTTGGGTGGATTACCCCAACCTCCATGGAACCTTGAAATCTGGATTCCATGAGAATTAAAACTCTGTTTCTCAGAAGAGAAATATATGATAAGTGAGAAAATATCTATCCAAAAGGTTAATTTTAATGTTTAAATGGTTGAATCTTCTTTGGGTTATTTTATTGTCTAGAATGGTACATTGCCTGAAGGATTTCACACAGCTGAGGGTTAATCATCCTATAATCTTCTGGAAAACAGTCCCCTTTGCTTAAAACTTTATAGTTACTCCTTTAATTTTCTGGCCTTTATTTCCCACAGATTTTTTTTGTTTTTTTTTTTTAAACATTTTTCCCCATAAAACTAATTCACTCATTTTGTTCTCATTTCTGTGGCCCCGAATACTCTTCTGATTTTAGGACTATGTTTTTTTCACAGATTCTAGCAATTTGTTTTTCAAGTATTGCAGCCTCCCAGTTCATCCAGTGTAGATACGAGAAGACTGTCCTTCACATTTCATTTTTATCAGCTTCATTCTCATCTAGAGATAGGGTAGTTGGCAGCCCGTTCAAATCCGAATCTCTGTGGTCTTCAAGACCCTTTACTAAATGTCCTCTTAATTTCATTTTATTGTTTCTTATTCCGTTTAAACTATCTCCTCTGTTTTCTGTCCTCTGCATATGTTTTGACAGGAGCCCCAGTGGTGCAGCGGTTAAGCACTTGGCTGCTATCTAGAAGGTTGGCAGTTCAGACCCACCCGGCACCTCCATGGGAGAAAGACCTGGCGATCTGATCTGTTCCTGTAGAGGATACAGCCTGGAAAACCCTGTGGGGCAGTTCTACTCTGTCACATGGTGGCGCTGTGAGTCCGACTCTGCTCACGGGCACAACAGCAGCATACGTTTTGCTGGTCCCTGTCTCTTTGTTTTGGCGAGGATCACTCCCTCTGGTTGGAATTCCTTGTTCTGTTTGAAAAGTCAACTAACTCCGACTCTGCTCAAGGGCACACAACAGCAGCATACGTTTTGCTGGTCCCTGTCTCTTTGTTTTGGCGAGGATCACTCCCTCTGGTTGGAATTCCTTGTTCTGTTTGAAAAGTCAACTAACTCCAACTCTGCTCAAGGGCACACAACAGCAGCATACGTTTTGCTGGTCCCTGTCTCTTTGTTTTGGCGAGGATCACTCCCTCTGCTTGGAATTCCTTGTTCTGTTTGAAAAGTCAACTAACTTACTTCTTCTAGGAAGTTTTTGTTGTTGGTATCAACTTGTGCCGCCTTATTCTTTTTTGCTGACCTTTTGTAATAACATATGTATCTAATTATAATTACTTGCAGCCCGTATGCATGTTCTTTGGTTATCTGAGAAACGCATATCTACCTAGCACAGTTTTAAGCTTCTTGACAGCTTTGTTTTGAATGTTGTTACAACCTAATATTGTGTCCTAAAACTGATTAGAAAGGTAAAGTCTCTGCCTTGTGTTGAACATACTAGTATATACAGATTGTTTAGTTGTGCAAGTTTCATTTGCCACTTTTTGCTTAAAATTTCTTCTTTTTCTTTAAAAAGGAAAACATTTGTATCTTGTAGATTTTAAGAACTAGACAAGCTTATTTCTTGTTCATGCTGCTTTTGGATTACTTTGATGTTTGTGACTTGTATTTCATCCTTTAAATAAAGAGCCCTTCAAGAAATGCAAATAAACATGTAGTTTTTAAATGTCTAGGGGTGATTTAAAATAATTTTTAACATTCTAATTATAGTATTTCAGAAGTATATTCCTAACATGATGCACTCTGTTCCTCTGAAGGAATGCTGAAGTTCACGTGAGGGTCATTTATGCACTGATTCGTGTGGTGCTCTCTTTGTAGTTGACTGGATTATTGCTGATACTTTGGCCGTCAGGCAGAACGCTCTTGGACACGTGCGTTATGTGCTAAAGGATGGATTGAAATGGCTTCCATTGTATGGGTGTTATTTTTCTAAGGTAATTTTTTCCATTTTCTTTTCTTTGTATATTGTAATTTATAAAAAGTTTTATATTTAACAGTTTAATATACCTTTTACACAGAGTATACTTATTTTGGTTTAATAGTCTATTCTAAATTGAAGTAACTTTATTTGGTATTTTTAATGCTGTGTTTTTAGATCTACGTTTGATTCCTCAGTTAAATCAAATTGCAGAGATGCGGAGGTACAAAAGTGAAACAAATAGGACATTTAAAGCCTTAGAATTTGGTAGATGATCACCTTAAGAAACTGATAAAAGTAACTGGTGGTCTGTAAGATATCAAAGGAGCCCCGGTGACAAAGTGGTTAAGAGCTCTGCTGCCAACCAAGAGGTTGACGGTTCAAATCCATCAGCCGATTCTTGGAAACCCTGTGGGGCAGTTCTGCTCTGTCTTGGAGGGTCACTGTGAGTCAGAATCGACTCAACAGCAGCGGGCTTTTTTAGGATAGAAAAAAAAATAGTTACCTGTATTTGTAAAGTGCTTAGCGTAAATGTCAGATGCATAATGTTTAATGTTATTTCCCAAGAAGCTTTTTAAAATTACACAGTGAAACCTGTGAGAGCCAGAACTTGGCTGGACTGCCTCGTGTTTCCGGGTCTCACAGGTTTTCCACCTCTGACAGGGTGCAGCTTTACCAGTTTTCTGCCGCCCCGTTTAGTGGAAAGTACTTGAGTTTTCCTTCTCTGACAGGTTTCAGCCTCATGCAGGTTCCGGCTTTCACAGGTTTTATTGTATAATACCCTTCAGGTCATGAAACTCCACAGAACATGCTCTTTTATGTTAAGAGGGAGATTACTAGCATTTTTCTACACCTTTCTGAATATAAAAATTATCTGAATATAATTTAGAAAATATTAAGTATGAAATTGGTGTGGTAGTCATGCTTTTTATAAGACTTTAGAAATTGATTAAAGAAGAAAGCCTAACATTATGGTTAACTCTCAAACTATGTAAATTTAAAGGACATCTCGTGAACGAGAGACGCCAGTCCCACCAGTTCACACTGTATCCGTGAGTGTTCATGTCACGGTCGAGGTTAGAGTGTTTGAAGGCTCATTTCCTTTTTCCTCTTGTCTTGAGTTTCTTAAAGGAAAATAAAATTCATATATATCTTTATGATAACTTTTAAGTTACTGAGTACTAAATAAAAATGGAATAGATTATTAAGTTGTGAACTTTATGTCAGGAAGTTAATTTTTCATTTGAAAAGACTTGTTTTTCACACTTAATTTGTATGAAGCAAAAATAATGCTTTTCACAAAAAGTTATTTATAAGCAAAACATGAAGGAACAGACGTTTGTATTTCTTGTAATTATTGTGCTTATAAAACACTAGGTATAGAACATGCGTATAAATGTATCGATATTTAGAAAACCAGACGCTTGTAAGCTGTGAGTTTGCGAACATTGTAAGTTGTGGTTCCGCTTCAGAATACGTAACAGAGTTCTGCTTGCTCTTCCTGCTCCAACAAAAGACAGGAGTTTTGGTAACCTAATTGTTGAGGGTTTTTTTGGTTTGTTTTTGTTTTTAAGATAGATACAGGACTTTTGTCCATTAAAGCCCCGTGAAGATAACCGGAGATATTCCTAACAGCTATTATTGACCTCTCATTTCATCACTGATGTTATTTACAATCATGCATCTGTTTTTTTCTGATGTTATTTATAATCATGCATCTCTTTTCTTCTCGTGTGATAAAGCTTGATGATATTTTAAGTAGATCACAATTGAGTATTAAATAATATATGAATTAAGAATGATATTCTTGGCTTCAGAGAAAGGGATACTTTTACACTAGTAATATTTAAAACAGAATATTCTGGACTTTATTAGTCCTTTCTGTAAAGGGGTAAACATACCCATAAAGTTTAAATGATTTGATAGCAAATATAATTAAGGAAATGAGGGAGGGCTGAAATTTAGAAGTAGTAGAAGACCAGGATCACAACAGAGGGTTCTGGACAGAGCTGGAGAAGGATGTAGAACAAAATTCTAACTCACACAAAAAAAAGACCAGATTTACTGGCCTAAAGGGGACTGGAGAAACCCCAAGAGTATGCCCCCCACACACCCTTTTAGCTCAGTGGTGAACTCATTTCCGAGGTTCACCATTTAGCGGGGAAGTGGACAAACCCATAAAACCAAGTAGGACTAATGAGGTAGAGCAGTCCAGAGACAGGGCCAGAAG